ATATATATATATATATATATATATATGATACACAACCAACAAATTTTCATCATACAACACGAATTTCGATGCAATTTTTTGAAAAAGAAACATTCAAACTTCGATTAAGAGTCATCCGGAACTTCAATTTCAGCAAATTTATAGTCAAACTGATCGGCTCAAAGAGACGGACCTAATGATATGAAAGACAGTCCGATCCGAGTCAAATCAAGCCTAGATCAAATCATCAAATCACTATTGAAGGATTTTTTGAGGCATTTGAAAGGTCAAACGGATGTCGAATCTAACGAGTTCATAGTCAAATTGAGCGTATCGACAAGACGAATCCAAAGAGCCTAAGATTGCTCAATTTTGACATCGTTAAGACACTCAAATGTCCATCAAATATTATATTATCAAGAGAAGCTCTCCGGACCTTCCGATCAAAAGGGTTCATATTCCTGCATTAATTGCACTCAAAACACTATAAATAAATTCTCACCCCTCACATGAGAGGGAAGAGACTTAAGAGAGAACTTGAGACTTTGAGAATGAGCTTAAGTCAAAGATCATCCTCATCATCGTCGATTATCGTCGACCACCACTAACCGTCGACCACCACCGCCGACCACGGTTGATTGTCGCTGACCTCTGTCGACCAATGCAACCCGTCATCGATTGTCGTCGACTACTGTCGATCACTGTCGATCTCCCTCAACCACCGCTGACTACACGTCGTCAGTTGACGTTGTAACTTAGAAAGCTAGTAACATTTTCTCGCATGTGGGACAAGGGGCATCTGTAATAATGAACCTATAGTGAATTTTTACAACTGGGCAAGACCCCGTGGTTTTTCCCCTTTATAGGTTTTCCACGTAAAAACTTCTGGTGTTATCACAACTTGATTCATTTTCATCTGAGTGTGTGTTGAATCCTCGTGCAACGCTAAGACGATAATCTATTACTCTACTGCCGCGAATTTTCTAGCACACATCATTATATATGCGCGACGTATTCAGATTAGTTCATCGAGCATCTGCTTGTCAGCTGTAAGTCATTTATGATCTGAGGTTCAATTCCCCATGAGTGTTGGGTGTGTTACTCGAATTATAGACACATGAGACATAATCAAGACCTGTATCATAGCCTCTGACAATTTTTTTTTTTAATATATATTTATTTGTGTGTGTGATATATATATATATATATATA